TTTTTGTGCTAATGGGAGGCACAATCCAATATCCGACTATATGAGAGGTGGAGTGCCCGCAAACGAGCTTCAAATGTACACCTGGTAAGATAGTCAATTGGACAAGCACCCTTATTATTTGTTGTTAATACTCACATTCAAGGATGGATTGCACACTTCGAGAGTTGACGTCGCTTATCAAAGAGGTTAATCCAGATGCTCGACGTCGTGGAACAACTTTTGACTTTTCCATAGGTGTGGTTTTTTCTTTTGGTTCATTGGAATATCTAGCGAATCATTGGATTGCAGTTCCGATAATTCTGTTGTTTCGACTTATGGCAATCAAATTTTCAGTCGCACCCGATCGAATGAACAACCGCTACACCATCCGCGATATTGGAAATACTATGAACGGTCAGAGAGGCGTTGACGATGGTAAATCGGTAAGTCTAATGTCGATTCTACGTCATGAATTTGGTATTACCGCGCGGCGTCCCATTCTATTCATTCGGCCCGTTACGACTGTGTTGTTCATAAGGCCCTCATTGCTCAATGGAAACAAAACACTTGTCATCTCTGTACAGTTCATGAATGGCCTGAACAGTCGGCTGTGGGCACTTCTTGAATCTGGATGTTCCTCCGATTTTTCGATTCGAAATGTAGAGTGTGATCTGAGCTGCATTAAGCATGGCAAAGGCAAAATGGAAGCTTTTATCGGAAGTTCCTGCTCTTGAAATACGCTTTTCATCAGTTTTATCACTATTCTCAGAACAACACTACCCTTGCGTGGGAGTTGCTATGGTATCAATGAATCCTTTTTCCAAATTCATTCCCCAGTCACTATTTACATAACTCCTTTTACGCGCCCAATAGTTCTTTAGTAAGCTTTCTCTTTAACCCGTTCTTAGTAGTAGCTCGTGCTGTGACTTCGCTATTGCGCTACAATTCGTACCATATCAAATAATTAACGATTCTTCGCCTCATGATGGACTCAGCGTAGTGACTATCAGTATCAGTCAGGTAGCCAGGCGTACAAAGGTAGAAAGAAGATTAGAGTAACTATAAAATAAATATGCACAACTGGTCGTAGGTGCCTTAACGCTCATCCAGAGACGCCCAGGCAACACTTTATTTAGTTCAAACCTGCCAGCACACAAAGTTGTTTTACATGCATGTCGAAATCTATTGGTACTGACGTCAATATTTTTGAACAATTTGTTTGATAAAGTTAATTTTAGTTGGCAATGTGTAAATTTGAAATTGGAGACTTCATTGATGTTGCGATCACAATGCCTGGAGTTGGACCTGCATCTGTGAGAAGGTGATGTCTAGTTTCAGCAGCGAACTGCCGCGAACCTTATGCATCCCAATACAATACTATTTGTATTGAGTATTTTTAGGTATGGATCGTTTGGAGCAATGAGACGCAACGGTGACGATTTTGATCGTGATAGGAGAAGATTCAGTCCTATTCGAGACAGATATTAAAAAAGGGCGCCTCGTAAGTTAAGTATCCCCTGACGATTTCGAATTTTCTTTCCAACATTAATTCCTGGTTGATTTAATTCGTTAATATTTCATTGTTATCACATATTCAACTGTATCTTGTTGCTTCGAACATGTTGTTCTCAAACACTGGTAGCGATTCTTTTTTGATTACACAATGGTATAAACAATGAATTGACGAGATATCGTATGAACCGTGTATGCAAGATAATAAATGTAATGGCAATGCGATTGGTTGACTCTACAACTTCTGTCGTTGTACCGTTGGATATTCTACCATGGAGGGGTTATGGTGGTATTCCCTCTCTAAATGCCCCCGTCCCCTTATGTTTCCTTATCTGATTAACTCATGATGGGCAGAATTATCGCAGTCAATTTTGAAGATCATGAGCAAGAGGTAGGACTCCACCATAACCTAACCGTTGGCATGGTCCTCTATCCAAACAACTTCACTATAATTGAACTATTATGTCAGGCCAAATTGACACAATAAGCCTAGCACAACCATCGTACACAACAACTTTTTCTGTAAAATATGAAATATGTTAACAGTATATCTACTCGTGCATTTGCAATCACATTTGAATTGAAACAACGACTAGCTTTATAGCAAGCTGGGCATACTTCATAGTAACCATATGGACTACCATTGTAGTTTCTGGGCAATGTTTCCAGTTACACCATGGTAGTCAGTGTATAACAACTTCTTCCAGCTCTGGATTCAAACGACTCCATTCTCCAGCAATTTCACTAAAACGTTGTTTCGAAGGAAAACCCGGAAAATATAATGAGTAAAGTTGAGGAAAAGCAAGACTTACCACATTTGTTGTGTGGCATCACCTTGTATCGTTGCGTATGATTCTTCTACGCTTACTCAGAATGTTTTCCCTTTCTTCAGTGGTATCGGCCCGAATCTGCGCTCCACCATTCCCACAACCTATAAGCATTGCACTATTCATAGTTTCTACTACTCGAACAGGTAAATATCCGAAGGAAATGCTGACCATTAGGGCAAGCCTGGACTTCAACGTAGTCGTAATGGCTTTTGCCATTTTTCATTTTTCGGACTAGGTTTTGTATGTTCCTGAAGCCATAGACTTTAGCCGCTCGTAAAACCACATCGCCATTTCGATGCACCGTTAGGACGTCCAGATTTTTTGCTCTGCAATAACATCCAAGTAGAACTGCATTTCTGAGGTGTTGGGAAACTTACAGCCTCTCCTCTCGCACTTCTCCGCCGTGCTCGGCAGCGAATCTTCTGACGAGCATTTCTGCGAAACCGCCGGATGTTCCACCAGGGTTCCCGTAGAGAACCCCTATTATATATAATTCATATAAAGTTACGAACAATAACTTATAATAACACATCTCTAGTACTCGTGTACTGACCTCGAGAGAAATCGCCTAGCCATCCATCCGCTTCGGATTCAGTTATATTGCTGACGTCATCAAGCAAACTATCAACTTCCACTGAAAGCACTTATTACATTGCAGCAATTCAGCTTAGAGGGTTGGTTATGCACATTCATAATCCATTTCTGTTGACTATATTTCTACTACATTCGTTTTTCTTCCTGTATAAAAAAAGGATAAAGCATTTGCCGTTGATCAATCCCTTTTTGGGATGCGGCACGCATTCTACTTCCATTTGTACATTCGTAGTGGCGTTTGAATGCGATGTGGCCTATACAATGACTTGCGGGGGCCAGCCGATGTACAAGTCAGTGTTTTTATCCTCCCAGACAAGTCTGGTACCAATTAACCGACCCCGGAGGGATGGTTGGCCCGGGCGACTCACGACCCAGGATTTGATCCCCGGACCGCTCGCGTGGTAAGCGTGCCACTACTTGCCACTTCCGCCTTCTTCCTGTATTTTATGGAACCCCTTCCCATTTCGTCTTTGAACTTTTTTTCAAATAATGAAAGACGCACTCGTGCATACCTGCGGCCTGGGTCGCGGTATAGTTCGGCCTCGCGCACGATGTCTTGTTTACTTAGCGACTTGATACTGCTTTCTACGCTTGATGAGGCTTAATGCTGAGTTTTTAACGGTGACAATAAGCACCATATTCCTTTGCACGGAACTCTGCTGACACCACCTGCATTTGATCCCTTAGGCCTGATATTAGATTGGAAATTCTAACATAGGCTGGCACCGCCTTTTGTTTCTAAACAGCACTGCTATTAAGAGTGAAAAGTAAATTGCGTTGCGCAAGGACAGTTTAGCTTCTTTCTTCATGCCCTTCTATTTCACTTTAATTTTTGAGGCTGAAAATACTACCTGTGCTGATGACGCAGTCGGTTTCACGTGCACTTTCCGTACCAGGCACATAAAAGTCGGGACGAGAAGCTTCCAATTTTTTATCAAAGCATGGCATCACGCAGGCGTGGGTAGATGAATCGACCGGGTACTTCAAGTCGCCGAGAAAGGTAGTCCTTCACTAGCGCTCCAGTCACGGCTTGTGGGGACCTGAGACAGGGTTAGTTATTTGAGCAATGTTGACTATGGAAATCAATACAAATAGTCTCCTGAAGCTCATTGAGCTTACATTTAGTAAAAGAACTTAGAGTGGCTTACCTGAACTTTGCTCACGAAAGGCAATAGGAAAGCTTCATGACTTTTCTCTGCATAGCAAACAAATCCTGGGCATGAGGAGACCAGCAGCGGTCGCGATGAGCTTTGACTCGAACTCGTGGTATGCTTCTTCTAAGCAGAAAGACCGTCCAAACGTAGAATCAACCACATAATGTGCCCCTAAACGTAGTCAGTAGACAAACGCTCTAGTTTATAAAAGATTTTATCAAAATGTTACTGAATGGGAAAGACGACGATGCCTTTAGAAAAGAAATATGACGCGATCAGCTTAGCTGCTTGCGGAACTGAGATGTTCCTTTTCACAGCAATTGAGCAGACACTTTGTGGGCAAACAGTAATCACAGAAAGTTGCTTACTGGACATTCCATCTAACAGCCTGAAAACAAAATTACATAAACAAGAACGGAATGAACCACTTCTTTGGTTTCGCATCAACCTTTCCAGTTCCACATCAACCTTCACTTCCACACTTCAATATTTCCAAATGCTTCCGGGTCCACCGGTTCAGGGTGCGCCACACATTCTACTTCTATTCAGGATTTTGTTGACTTCGTGGATGCGATTTGGTCTCCGTAATGACTTGCGTTAACAAAGCGGTGTACACGTTTTCTTCATCCAAGAGAAGATGGCACTACCTGACCGACTCCTGAGAGAAGGAGCTGGATGAGATTCGATCCGAGAAGTGACTCCACCGTGCGCGCGACAAACGGCGTCGACTGCCATTATACCAACTCCGCCCATGTTATAACACAAGAAAGATTTAAACGTCTGCGTTTAAGCAGTCCCTCTTTGAGATGCGCCATGCACTCCATCCACATGCAGAATTAATGGTTGCAAATTTTCGCCTATACAATAGCTTTTCGGGCGGAAGTGGTGTAGTGGCAAGTGGCACGCTTACCACGCGAGCGGTCCGGGGATCAAATCCTGGGTCGTGAGTCGCCCGGGCCAACCAAGCCTTCCATCCCTCCGGGGTCGGTTAATTGGTACCAGACTTGTCTGGGAGGATAAAAACACTGACTTGTACATCGGCTGGCCCCCGCAAGTCATTGTATAGGCCACATCGCATTCAAACGCCACGAATGTACAAATGGAAGTAGAATGCGTGCCGCATCCCAAAAGGGATTGATCAACGGCAAATGCTTTATCCTTTTTATCCTTGCGGAGCCAGCTGATGTTTAAGCTAGTGTTTTACCCCCTCAGGCGTTGCTGGTAACATTACCGATCACGGAATAAGAATGCTTGCTCGACTCAGGCGAGATTCAGGCTGTGATTCCAGAGCTATCTGCGTGAAAATGGGCACTACTTGCCACTACATCACCTCCGCTCATCAATACGTGAATGACATTATTTTATAGAGAATACAAGAGGCAAATGTTACCTCGTGATCGACTGCTCCTCGACTAAGACTGTTTCTGCACTTGTGATACAACCACTACATGCGAGGCAGTCGTTAAGAGATATTTTCACAGCACCCTAAAACATCTCAGAAAAATGAATGATTGCCACTCTTTAAGTAAAATAACGCTCACCTTCTTGGCCCCATTTTTGACGGGATCTCTCTTCCTCACTGCAACAAGTGGTTCTTCAACAATCCTTGTTTCGAGTGGAATGATGCAATTCTGTAAACTAACAAAATGGGACTTAAGGCAAGATGATCCTGCCCGGGTTAAAAAATATGCAGTGATTCCGTAATTTCAGAGAGTAACTGTTTAAGCTTATTGATAAAAGATATTCTCAAATAAAAGAAGTAAATTCGCCCATAGACGAAACATTATCTAGGCATTTGTTCTAATGCTTTGTGAGCGCCCGAAAAAATATACAGGGTCTGAACAAAATACCTTTCTTCCACTTTCAATATCTGATTCAACGGCACACCCCAAACAATCGAGAAGTTCCACAGTAGTCAAAAGAGATATCCAGAAGATGCTGCTAGACGAACACGACGCCACGCATCAGCTCTTTTTTTCTTGCCCGAAGCCATCTGAGCTTGATCCATTTTCGTAATTCAAGAATTTTTAGGGTGGACGTGGTCCCCTTGAGATTGCTGCTCTCTTCAGGTTCCTTTGACCGGAGATAAATAAACGTTTTCCCAGACCACGCAGCGCACTCTAACTGCACAGAGGATATAGCTTCCGATATAGGGATATGAATCATCGACGGTGATAAGACTGTTAAAGTCCGTCCATTTCAAGCAGTTCTCCAACGAAACACATCATAGACCCACCTCCATCAAGCCAACCACATACATCCCCGCCGCTCAATTGATCTACATTCAGTGGCAAGCGTTATAGAACCGACGGCCAAGGTGAGTGGTGGCCTTACACAGGTAAATTCTTGGCTGGAAAACTGCTCACCAGTGACCCGATTAGAGATGGACAATGACTGAAAGCAACCCATTTTAAGTTAAGGATTGGTCGATCTAAGAAAGACAGAACCATGAGACACGGCCCGGGACTCGCACATGACCCCCCTTGTTGCCTCGCTGATTTCGCCATTTACTGCGACTACTCACTCGTGACCTCTTCAACCAACGTCTCTCGCTTGTCGGTGGCGTAACCGCGCGCACGGTGCCAAGAAAGAGCCTAGCCGAGGTCTAACCCACCATCTGCTCGCACCCTCAAGTCGGCCATCTCCCAACTAAGCAATTTTCCCCTTCTTTAATCTTCGCTATTATCGTGGAATGCTCCTTTAAGTAAATTATGCAGCTCTCATGGTCCCTGCAGCATGCCAGCGCGACGGATGGCTCAGAAGTTGGCTTTGTGTTGCTAAGGAATAGGATATCCTCTGAATTAGACTAGAAGGTACCGTACCCGTTCGAGGGCCAATGGTGGAGCAAAAATGGGTCCTTAGACAAGAAATAAGGAGACCTAGAGGCTCAGAATCATAGCACAGTGTACAGGAAAATAACAAGAAATCCATGAAAAAGACGACCCAGTGGTTTGACTAATCATTAGTCGGAATAAATTCCACATTTCACCTCCATCCTTAATCCTTGTGACAGTGAGAATTTCTATACAGGGGCTGATTGTCTAGTCAATGGTTTCGTCTCATATTAAGTCCAAGTTGCTTACATGTATTATAACCATGCACTGTTTGCCCTGTACCATAATCGGCAATCAACTTATGTATTTATGGCTATTGTACTCGAAAATGAACATATAGGTGAAATGAATGCGACATACGTAAAAGAAAAAACAGCCTAAAGCACTAAGCATAAAAGGTTTCGGGTGGGAAGAAGTCTATAAGACGGACAGCCTGAGAGACAGCAGTTGTCGAGTCGGAAGAACCGATTAGGGAAAGAAAGAGCATGGGAAATGCGAGAGACGCAGACAACAACACATTCGCAGCGGCGACCGTACAGAGATATGTGATTGGATGCGAAAGATAAACCATTAGTGGTTTTGTTACCCGTTGGAGGTGTCCGTGGTTACCAACTTAGCCGCCATATCACGTCAATGATCCTGCTCCGAACTACTGGCTGGGGTGCCTATGATTGATACCAAATCAATAGAAGTATTGGTTGGCTTTTCTCTGATAGGTCGTGGTTCAGAAAACGCTGTTATCGACTTCGAACCAAAGTCTGCTTTACGGTAGCACATCCCTATCGACCGTACCCTTTTCAGTCTGACAATGAGCTGTCCCCTAGAAGAACGTACCCGCCATGCACGTACACATAGAAATCAGGGATTTACACTTCTCTGCTTCCTTCCAAATATTTCACGCAAAGGATGAGGACAATCCATTTCTGGCGAAGCTAGGCGGCGCCTGTGTCTACTTGCTGTTCCACCCTGCACACACTGAACCTGGTCAAAGACAGGGAAACTTGTCTAGCGGAAAGACAGGCGGACCCCAGAAATGCTCCGGCAATATAGCACGGCCCTCCCACGACGCTATCGGCATGGCACGCCTACCGACTGGCTAACCGGTCGCCACAGGTCTTGGAGCGTTTAGCAGAGAGAGTGCTAGCGTAGATTGGCATCTACCGAATTAGTGTCGCCTCAACCCAGCCTAATCATCTAGAGAAAGGACGGCTCCAATTTCTGTTTCTGGGCGTCTTTCATCCGGCACCCTGTACCAACCACCGCCTTCCTTAATTATATACGTGGCGTCCATCTAAATCGTAAACGCTCCGCCTTCAGTGCAACTTCATACCGGCTAATATTAGGCTGTTCACTGTGTCGTAAATGGATTTCGATAAGGCATTTGTTCCTTCAGACGCCCACATTGCGATTTGAAAGACTTGAAAAAAAACTGATTACTGCCATGATCACTGCTTTGACAATGCTCATATAGATACAAAACCACACATGATACGTCTATTCTTTCGCCTAAATTACGTGACCATGGTAGCTATCGTTCGTCTGAAGGGTCGACGAAATTTTCGAAAAGGTTTCGATTCCAGCCTCCAAACTTAAAGCGCAAGGGGCTGCATTCATAGTCGGTTCATCGCCCGGTCCACAGCTAAGCGACCCGCGTACAGATTGATCGTATCAATTCGTCGAATGCCTCGACCCGTCTTACGATCGATTACCGCATCCAGTGCTGTGCGATCGCTACGATCGGACGACCGACTATAAATGCGCCATAGGGGTTCAAAAGTGCAAGTCACGTTTTCGAGTTAACACCTGCAGCTCTACACTGCACGCCAGAAAACTCATCTAGCCTTCTTAACACACATTATCTCTTCGTCATTCCTATTATAGAGCAAATCTTTATTCCTTTCTTTTTTCTCTTCTTCCTGCTCTTCAAAAAAGTGAACTCAGGTTGGCAGGTTGATAATACTCGGCAATATAATCAACAGTATACTCATTAGAATGAGTACGCTACCGCGCTTGTGTCGATGAAATCACGGGTAATGTTTGATATCCTGACAGTCCCACTGAATCCTTCATCCATCTAAGAAGATCAGCATTTCAGTAAATCAGAGGAAAATCCAAACAAGTATGGGTGATCAATACAGCAAATGCAACGAAAAACACATGTTAGTCGATTTATACATAATGACACCCACAAAGTGTGATCACACTACCCTTCGACATGAGTGCTTATCATCTGTGCAGCTGCTTCCAATAGGGATCTGAAAGTCTCAATCGAAATTCAAGAAAAGGAAAGTAACGTCCATACGAGGTGCTTGTAAAGCGCAACGGGTCACTGCGCTCGTTAGTTGCTGCAGCGTCCGGCGCTGAACTGTTTTCATCCGGTATAAGACACATGGCTAATAAGGCTAAAGTGTACGCAGTAACGGTAACATTCGCTTTCCTTTTTTAGCATTACAACTACAGCTATGATCTGCCCATGTTTTGATCCCGTGAAGAAAACAAGTTCCTTACTGAAATATATGGATGGGACAAGACTGATGTTAGGAAAATTCTAACAAGATCCATTAAATTGAATGGAGAAGTAGCCAAAAAGGCACATATTTTACCCGCTATCGAATGTCCTACACAACACGCCGCCGACAAGAGCAGTTGCGTCTCCGAGGTGTTTGTGGTCGGGGGTTTGGGGGGCGGGCGGAGGAGGACGGGAAGGGCGACCCGCCGACAAAGAGCAGAAGGGCAGCGCGGTGCTGCTTTGGATCATCAGAGAGTTGAGTATTGACAGACAACTCCCTTTGACGAATTATCGTACCCCGCATGTGTGGAAAGGAATTGGCGAGACTGCATTGTCAATAGAGTGATGAATCGCTTGAATAATGATCTTATATCGAAATCCTTCCATTCGAGGTTGTTGGCTTCAAGCACAAGAATCATTCGCACTCCAGTGGTCGTGATGAAACCGAAAGACTAGAAACGACAGCATCACAATAAGGCATAATACTACCACAATGAAACTCGAACCGGTATTCTTTCGAACACGTTCAATGTCATAGACAGCTTTCAATCATAAAGTTACTTCCGAACTGAACATAATGCCCCACAAACTCCCTTAACCTACATAAGATACGCTTGGTACTAGTCCCAAAAGAGTGCAAGGAGTAAGGGAGCAGCAAATAGTGTGGAGTCAGGAATGCGACTGCATAGATTACAGCGGCACTCTTATTACTACGACATCCGCCTCTGATCTGGGAACATGAAAATCACCATTAACCGACCTACGCATGACTTTGGAGGCAAACTTAACGTATTTGATATTTGTGGAGAGGAGTAATAGTATCAAGAACGCGCTTCCAGCGACTTCGCCTTTCGATGTAGTCCTTCCCACACCAACGGAATTTCCAAACTCTGAGATAATCCAGAGGGCACCAACCTTAACTACATAACAATCTCTGAAAAGCGGCAGGTCTCCAGCGCATAGACGGTATCTTTCTCCCAAGAGGAGGGCAACTAAAAGGCATTCGGGACTTCTTTGCCTTCTCGACCAGAATCGCCGTGCATACGGTCCCAGATCATCGTGTAGACCGATTCAATGTGCACAGTAATGCTCTGTAGCTCTAAATGGAAGCTGCTACTCAAGATGAATTTTAACACCGACTACTCCAGCCCCTTATCTTCCTGTGCATCAAAAGCTGTTTCCTATGTTGGAGTTATTGGCTAAATTCCACAAGAAAATCTCCTAAGATATATCAAGAGCAACTCCTGCACTCCATTCTTGCTACGCATTCTCCAAAACATTAAAAATTTAATCACATTAAAAATTTTCGACAGAAAGCGAGCCTGATCTGGACTCGTGTGCAGCAGTACTCGGCTATGGATAGGTCTCCAAAACTTTGCAACTTGGTTGAAGACGGTCAAAAACGCATCATACATAGTCAATCGTGGGGGGATGCGAGCGATGAAGAGTTCTGGGGACCCACCCCCGGCTGGGAACTGCTGCACCGGGCCCTTGGCATGTGCCAGAGTTTGCGGCCAATGGCCATCAGATGGCGTGATTCGAAAGGAATCTCAGTGTTTCATGTTCCCAAGGACAAAGTTTGCACAAGATCACATAATCTATACGTATCTATCCCACAAAACGTAA